TTTTTGTGTATTCTTCCATCTGAGAGCTCCACTATTTATAGCCATAGAGGAAGAGCCAGCCCTTTAATGCCATGAATGGAGAGTGATATAAATGAGGAGTTACAATACTAATGAAAATGAATGAGGAGTTTCAAATGGATGGAGGATGGAGGAGAAACTGATTTTCATTCATTCAATATTTCCAACAAAAAGTGCATTGAATCCCAATTGGCTTGCACCAATTAAGGTAGAGGTTGTGACTGGAAAATATTGGAGTCCAATTGAGGACTTCATACACATTAATGCACCAAATATCCCTACGACAACATAGATTGAAACTAGGATTAAAGTGCTGGGTTGTTTTGTGTTCACTTGTGTAGTACAATCTTTGTCTTCTGAGATGAAAATGAATGGGATAAGAACTGGAAATCCACATTAATTAAAAGCGCTACCAACCATTTGCTGTTTCCAACTTTCATAAAATATAATCTACTTAAAGAGTGTAACTACCGACTGTCCTGAGAGAAGAAATAGCCCATAAATGGCTATTTTAAACCACTGATTGTACGGTCGAGCCGACCAGAGGAAGATTGATGTTGGCCTCTGCATTTTCAGGTAGATAATTTGCTGCTGATTCAAATTTCTGATGATCTGCTGAGATTAAACAACGCATAACAATTAACTAAGAAAATAACAACTTTAAGCGCCAAATTCAAAAGCACAAATAAGTACATCGGTCCAAGGTTTACTCCCAGCTCCCAGGCATGGAGCCTTTAATGCAACGAATTCTCTGGCTTTCGGGCTTCATTGTTTTATTGTTATGGGAGGAAATTTCCTCACTTATGCCACTCGTGTTATCCGTCATGTGCATCAAACTGGAAGAACAGTTTACAGTCAGTAAAGCAATTCAGAGGAACATTGCTTGCTTCTTTAAGCAAAGAATAAAAGGCTGAAAGTTGTGATGCAAAAATGATGCACCTGCAAGTTCACAACCTCGGCTCGCTATAACAGCTACATCAAGGCCAAACGGAAAAACCATCTGTAAGTCTTTGTAACCTGATTAATTACAAACTAAATTTGGTCTATTCACATGCACATGAATCCAATCAAACCAAGTTCATGCTGCAACATCAGAATATACGAGTTAAAGTGACGTGAAAATGCACAATGTATCGACAAAAGGATCATGATATAAACTGAGAAGTAGGTGTAATGCCTCTTATAACGAGGCTCCAGATCACCTACCAACAAGGCAGCCAACTAATCAAACCAAGGCCTACGCCCCACATCACCCTCAGAGGTCGAGGCTCCGAAGTGCCAACGCTCACACACACATATGGCCCTGACCAAGTCACCAAGGTGACTCAAGTCGAAACAAGTGACAGTGACGTGACATGAGTGGGCAGAACGTCTACTGCTAAGTCACAACGCCTTGTCCCAATGCATCAAGAGATCT